TGCTTGGTAGATGAGAGCTCCATTTTTTGGGTTGCGATTAGTACTGACGTCCCCGTCGTGCAACCTGGGTACTAGTAAATCCTAGTAGCGAACAAGTACTATTATATTTTCCAGTTCAATTCGGTTATTTTTATGTTATAATTTTTTTTATTTTCTTTGGGTAGATTATTCGTAGATAAGTTTAATCTGAGTGTTTTGATTTTGTATATATGTAAATTTTGGACATTAACTAATAAATCAATGATCTTTTTCTTTAACGTGGTCAATTTTTATTCTAATTTATAAAAAGTGATGAAATCAAAAGTTACATAAGATACTTTGTAAATAAGAGTCTGACTAAAAAAAGCTCATTATTATTTATAATAGTTTATAGCTTAATAGATTGTTATTAATAATATAAATTCATCTTCCCTTTAAAAAAAAAAAACACATTGCATTACTTACTTTCTCTTTCTCTCACTTTATTTCATAGGCACGCACTGTCAGTTAATGATGAACGAACCGGAACCAGAACCTTATGTTATTCAGTTGCCATCAATGAAATTCAAATCAAAAGGAGTGCAACTTGCAGACCAAGCTGCGGAAGAAAGTAAGAATGTTTTCCTCAACCAAAGAAACTTTTATGAAGCTGGTATAATAGCTACAGCTGCCAATAGGCCAGGTGAAGATCGAGGTCAATTTCAACGAACATTTGATAATTTTATGTTTGGATGTTGTTCAGTTCTTCAAGACCCACCAGTTATTAAATCTGGAGATCATAGATTAAAATATAAATCTGTTCAAGAACTTATTGATTCCGCTACTGTATCAACGATCGATGATAAGTGTTAGACTTGGTGTTAATACAAACTCATTAAGGTCTCCATTGGAAAGACGACATGCTTCTTCCATGGTTCCAGTTTTACCTAACGAGGAATGTCATACCCGAGTTATATGAACCTACTTCGATGCATTCTTTGTTTAATGATGATACCTTTGGTAAGGAAAAATCGGTTGATATTGAAAACGATTATTTTCCACAATCTTCGTCATCGACGGAAGATATAAAACAGTTTAACACCCTAAAAAGGGCACACAATGAATCTGCCAACCAGATAGAATCAAGGAAACGCATCGCAGGAACAATCAGTCGACTTCCTCCTCTGATAAAAAAAAAAAGGTTTTCAATGATTTTCTATTAAATGGAAAGGGTTTAATTTTTTGTATTAGCCACTTTCACAAATGGAAACTTTAGTAACAAAATCAGCGGACATCTCAAATATTGGATACCGTTATGGCGCAGTATAGCAGTAACGCGAAAAAAACTCTGAAAGATGAATCAAAAATTACCGAGGAACAATGGTTCAATACGATTGCATTACTTGATTTACGTAAGAAGTTCCTTTCCGATGATGCTTATTTTTAATTAATTAGATTTAATTAATTAAACTTTTATTGTCATCATCTAGCCAAAACATTGATCAAAAGCACGTTGCAAGCTCTTCAAGAAAAGAAAAGGTTCACGAAAATAGGGATCATTATAGGACAGATTAGTGATGTTCATTCAACAAACAAAGTTCTCACTTTAAGAGATCATAAAGGTAATCATTACTTTTGCCATATTTAATACACAAATCACAATTTATCAACCTATACATTTAAGGCAAAATCAGGGCTTTAGTCCAAGAGAAAGTCACCAGAACACATGATTCAATGAGACAATCCTCGTTTTAACGAATGTAAGTTTAAAAACATACACATACTTTATTATAATGATGTTAAAAAGGATCTTCTTCAACCTAGATTACATTCCAATATTCTGAAGGGTTACCATCTTTTATCACAATTACACTTAATATCATTTATATGCTATACGTGGATGAACACAATAAAGTTCTTGGATACGTGGCGAATATTCATAGTGTATAGCTAAACTACTTAGATTAGGATAAGAAATAAATCATTTACTTAATAATACAATGTATCCAGGAAATGGAAAGTTCAAATGTATAATAGTATATAAGAAGTAATAATTAGAAGTATTAGAAGTGTTAGAATAAAAAATAATAAAAATTTGATATATTGTTAAATGTTTTCATAGTATCTGAGGTGCAAAGTATCGTTTCTATTAAAATAGATAAAAAAAATTTTTTTTCGATTTTATTATTACACGGTCTATTTGTTATTTTTAACCAACAATTACTCATATAAAACGATGTCTGCTGAATCAGGGTCCTTGGATAATCTGTAATCAATTTGTAAAAAAGATGGCGATTATGATCAAACGTTGTAATTGGAGACTTTTGAAGCTGGTGTTCTTTTCATCGGTTATGCTCACAAATTTGCACGTTTACATCGTTTTAAACCATGGTGGGTGTCTCGAGTCTACACAGTACATCTGTACGTAGGATACTTACTTAATTCATTGATGAAGTCTTCTAGTTTAGGAATAAAATCTGCATGAATCGATACCAAAAGCTTTGATGCATGTCACCATTTTTTGGGGGGTCAATTATAAGAACTTTTTAATTGTTCGCTGCAGAAGTTAAGTTCTTCATATGACAGATTTGATGATGTTTAATCAGTCATGAAAATTTTTTATCTTTAGAAATTTCCAAAGAAAAGGTTCATGCAGGATGATAATTACCAAGACGATTCACCACATAATTTGTCTAGAACTTTTGATTGCAAATAGATAAGCAATCAATTTTGAGAATATTGACAAAAAAAGGTTTTGTTGTATTTTGTTATAAATACGACCGGGAAATGGACATAGGCGCAATTGCTTTCAAAAATTAAAATCAAATTTTTTTAAAAAATTTTATATTAGAATTAAAACCCGAAATAACTTCTTTTTTAAAACCCAATTAGCTTACTTATATATGTTATGTATGCTACATGGATACTATCCAAGCCCTTGCTATCATTGTTATCCGAACCATATTAATCAATCCATTTAAAATGGGAATTCGAAAATACATGGACCAACCCATTCAAGATGGGAGTCCGAAATTAATGGTCCCTAACCCATTCAAGTCAGGGACCCGACCAAGTTGGAGCTTTAGGTGGGGGATTTTTTTTTTCTCGCGTTAAAATCAAAATCTTTTATCAGTTAATTGACAGTTATATTTGAATATAGGTTGCCAATCGAAAAATCCAACTTGAGGGTTGTTAACAACCTGTTCTTGCAAGGATCGGAAGAATTAAGGTAAAGTTAAATTATCAATATTCACCTGAAAGGACATTTATGTCTTGTGGATTTATAGTTAACAATGATTTAATCATTTTCAGGTTCAGGGCACTTACATTCGTACGTCTACGAATCCTTGATGGAAGTAAACTGGTGTCAATTCATAAATAAAAAATATTCTTATACACATATAAAACCCAGTAATTTATTGTAAAAAAATTTTCTTCTAAATTTTAGTTAAAATACATTAATAAAGATTATAAAAATTGCGACGAATAAGAGACGATTTTTTTAATGAAAAATTGTTTTTTGAAAAAGAAAAGCTTATAAAAGTTAAACCCCCTCCTAAAAAATATCAAATCAATGATTCTTTGAACGCGAGGGGATTTTGATTCCTGGTTGGATCTAAAATGGAATAAGATTGAATTATCTCTTTATTAAAAACAGTGATAAAAATAAGATAAATATATATACCGTTCATACCGGGAAACTTTCTGGTGTTAAAAACCAGAAGCATCATTTGGAAGTGCTTGATATATGATCTAGCACGTTGATAGGCATCAATCAAATCCAGGTTTAAATTACCCTGCCTAGAAAATTAATATAAATTACATGTAAATTACGAAAGCTTAAATATTCAAAATAATGAGAATTTTTACCAGTCAATGCGTAAATCAAAAAGTAGTAAAAAATATATACAAACAATATATAGAGGGGGAAAACCCTTAGTTTTAGACGAAACTGTAATAAATCTATAAAATCGTCGAAAGTCGAAACTATATATTGAGAGTTCCCAACTTTTGGCCGTATGCTCCCTCATGTCTTGTTTGAGATTCGTGCAAGCTGGCTTATAGGGTAAAGACGTGACGTTTTAAAAAGAGGAATGGAATATCCTTTTTTTAGTGTGATTTAATCTCCAAAAAATTTTCACCCCACGTGACATTGGGGACTCACCTCGGGCATGCGACTTGTAGCGAATAGTTTTATTAAACAGACCTTAACTAATATAGTGAAAATGAAATACTTTTTTGTAGGTGATGCTTATGTAAATCAAAACTTTTATGTGATAAGAAAGATTTTTTTATCATAACAAATTATTTTTAATTATCATTATAAAGAATTATAATAAACAACAAATTATATCATTAAAATTATTAAAAGTTTTGAAGCAATATCAGATCCAACTTATAGGAAATGAATTTCTTTTTCTTTCAATTTGATTTTATTTTTTTTAATCCTTCTGATAAATTTTCTTTTATTCATTTATCAGAAAACAAATTGCTTGCTTATCAAGTTAGAATGTGTTTTTAGACTTGCTGTTGAAAAATAATAATAAAATAGATTTTGATTTTGATAAATAATACAATTCAGAAAAATTATATACTGATAAATTGAAATTAATTGTAACTTTTATTGGATTCTTCTTCATTGATGTTTATAAATACCTTTTCATTAATATTAATATCTACCTTTTATTTGATGTTGATAGAAATCTTTTCATTAAATAGTTAAGATAAGTACTTTTTAAAGGAAATCAGCATTTATATTATTTATAAACTCCCATATTAAATTAGATATATAGCCTTAATAACCAATAATTCTAAGCTAAATCTTTAAGAAAATTAATATTAAATTTCAAAAGATTAAACTATAAAGCAAATTTAATATTTTAATAAAAAAAGTTATCAATTTATATAAAAATTCATTTATATTAACCAAGTAAAAAGAAAGAGAGAGAGAGATTTTTTTCACAAGTATAATAAAAAAAATAATTCTATAGTTTTATAGTTGTAATAAATAAGAATTGATTTTTTAAAAAACTTTTAAGAAAAATAAAAAATTCTATTCATGTATCTAAAAAAGTATGATATAGTTTATATATATAAAAAAATATATTATATATTATTTATATAATTAATTATTAATTAATTAAAATATAAGATAACACATATAATTTGAATTTACAAAGTATATTGAGCATCCTAACATAATATTTATCTATATTATATCTCTCTGTTTTCATTATTATAGTAAGGATATATTATTCCTAATTGAAAAAATAAATTTTTTCATTTTTATCATATGGGAATGTTTCCAGTAAAATCAAGTCATAATGCATAGTAAATCATATGATATATAATGTGATTTTACTGAAAACGCTCCTATATAATAATAAAAATTGATTTTTTATTAGTTAATTCATATTTTTTAATATGAAATTTTGTTAGACAGAAACTATCAAAACATTTACATATACTTTTTTATAGTTTTGATCTGTTTATTCTATATTAGAAAAAATATATTTTTAATATTATTTTCTTAGTCATTAGATTAAGAAGTTTAATTTTTTAATCATTTGTAAAGAATAATATAAATCTTTTATATTAATCTTATTAACTAATTGATGATAGTGAATAATATCTATCATCTTGATGAATATTAATCCTTTAAATAATAATTTTTTTTTATTTTTTATTATATTATAATAAAATATATTTAGATATATAACAAAATTTTTTATTTAAATAAGTTATATAAAATTAATTAACCAGATAATTATAAAGATTTTTGAAAGATCAAAATATTATAATAAATATAATTTTTACAATTGATTTAAATCAATTAAGCAATTAGAATTTTATTATTTATTTTATTATTAAATAATAAAAATAAAAATAAATTTGCTTTTATGATTATAAAATCACAAAAAAAAATCTACCAAAGTCTTTTTTTAAAAAATTGTTATTTTTTTTCTTCTTAAAAAATAAATTTAAAATAAAATTTTATTTTTATTAACTTACAAATTTAAAAATACCTTTTAAATTAGAATTTTTTATTACATTTATGACTTAAAAGAGAAAATTACCCAAGATTTCATTAGTATTATAGACCAAAACCTAACAATCAAACATTTTTTTTACATATTGATCTAGTTTATTATAAATTATGTTTAATATTTTTTTTCTGTTATTTTCATTTTCTTAAGTACAATCACTATAATAAAAAATATTTATTAGTAAGTGAATAATAGATACTAATAATAGATTATATATTAATTATTATTATTATATTACCATTGCTCTTGCTCTTATTGATACTGTAGTTATTGCTACTGAAGTTGTTGTTTTAATAAATTTTTTATTCTTTTATTATGAATAAAGATAGTACAGTAATTAATAAGTTGCAACTCAGAAAGTTGTAACCTGAGTTGTAACTTGGTTGCAATTCCTTGTAATATAAAAATTCATAAATAGTTGCAACTAGTTAAAAATTTTAAAAATAATTATGGAAACCATCTTTAATCATAAACTTTTTTCAAGACACTTAATTGTATATTAGAATTTAAGAATATTTTTCACTTATCAGCCTTTCATTTTGAAGTTATAGTTTATAAAGTTTAAGTTTAACAGAATTCTTTTTATAAAAATATAATAATTTGGTTAAAAATATCAATTAATTTTTATAAAAAAAAATGTTAAATAAATCAAATGGATTAGTATGTATAAAAATCATGCTGCAGAATTATATAAATCATATGATCAAAATCTGATTTATGTATCTAATAACCCAAATGATTTTTATAAAAATAAAAATATTAACTAAAAAAAAAACAAATAATAAGTCTGCATTAAAGATGAAGCTGTAATTAATTTTAAAATTTTTAACTAGTTGCAACTATTTATGAATTTTTATATTAAAATAAATTTTACAAGAAGTTGCAACCAGTTGCAACTCAAGTTGCAACTTACCGAGTTGCAACTTCTTAATTACAGTACCATCTTTAGTCTGCATTGATAGTCTAATCTGAATAAAGTGAATAATAGCTTAGAGTTACAATCTACTGTAGTACTTACGTATTACAGACTCTGATCATCAATATTATGCTAATCTATAAAAAGCTTAAGTTTGATTAATTTAATCAAAAAATAGAAACAATAGTTACTTTTTTTAACTTCTCTTTTCCTACATCATACAATTCATCATTCTTTCTCTAAACTTTGTTAAATTCTAAATATTATATTACTAATCAATACTTTAATATTTATGTGGCAAAACAACAATTTATTAAATTATGTAATATATATAGGTTTTTTTTTAGAAATTATTTTTTTTTATTTTCAATCAAAAATGATTTTTTTATTTTTTTTATTTTCATATGCTTGTTTTATTAATGGATAAATCTTAATCTAACCATAATTCTGACATAACTATGAAACATTTAAGAAGACCACTTGTATTCATAAATATTCTAAAGTTATATATTAATGCTTCTACTATCAAATAACAGTAAAATAATAAAAAAAAGGAAAAAGGTGAGGGTTATCACCTATAATATCAAATACTATCATGAATAATAATAATAGCAATATGAATACTTATAATGAACAAGTTTTACTAATTAATACATTACTATTTTTAATCAATAAAAATAATAGGACTTGTTAACTAACATATTATCATTTTCATTTAATGAAGATAATGAGGATTTATTAACTGATATTTATATATTATATATATTAGCTTATTTAACTTAAAATTATTAATATATTATAATAATTTAAAGGATTTTAAGTAAAATAATAACATAGATACAAATGCATGAAGTACTTATGATTTATATATGCAGATAATATATATGATTTTAATTTGCCAATTTTTGAGTTATATATCTTAATGACTATTTTTTTTAAGATTCTTCACATAGACTATTACTCAATATTTTAAAAGAAGTTATATCAGATGATGATATGCTGAAAGAAGAATCTTTAAGCTTTGAAGAGTTCAATAGTGAATATGAACCATATTTTCCAAATTTTACATTAGCAATGATATTTTTTTTGGATTATAAAACATATAATATATAAGTATTTATGTTTATATTATTTACATATATATTAATATAATATATTTTCTGTTTTACATAGTGATATTTGTATGCAAACACCTTATTAAAATCCTTAAATATCCTAAGTTTTGCAAAGATGATATTATTACTAATAATCAGTATATTTACAAATAAAGAAATAGGCTTTCTCTGGTTAAGATACATAGGATTCCTTAAAATCAAATTGAATTGAATCGAATTGAACTCAAATATTTGATCAAATAAATTGATTTGATTTGAATTTGATTGAATAAAATCAATTTGAATCAAATATTTATCAAATTCAAATCAAATCAAATATTTGATCGAATTGAATTGAATCAAATAAAAATTTTTAATTTTTATAATGATATATTAAAATAAAGTTATTCTAAAAGTTTTAATTAAGAAAATAATTAGTAATTATATTAAAAAATTTTAAAGATAGTTTTTACAAAGTAAGTTTAGTAACAAGTGAATTTTTACTATTAAAAAATTAGTAAAACAACTTTGTGACTTCAGTTTTACTAAAAAAACTTAGTAAAATAACTTTACAGTCTTAGTTTTATTAAGAAAACTTAGTAATAATCACTATTGCAGCTTCAGTTTTACTAAAAAAAACTTAGTAATAACCATTATTGTGACTTTAGAATCAATTTATTAGTAAAAAATGTTTCTCAAGTTACAAATGCATTTTTTACTATATTTTCTTAGTAAAATAATGTCTCTGAAGTTATGGAGGTATTTTTTACTATATTTTTTGGTAAATTAATGTCTCTAAAACTGCAAAGGCATTTTTTACTAAATTTTCTTAGTAAAAAAAGCATTTCTGAAGCTGTAAAAATACTTTTTTACTATAGGTTTCTTAGTAAAAGCTACTACTGAAGCTTTAGAGATAGCTTTACTATTAATTCAAATCAAATCAAATATTTAAATATATGATTTGAATTTGATCAAATAAATCATTCTTTGATTTGAATTTGATTGAATCAAATCAAATATTCAAATATCAAATTAAATTGCAGAATCTTAAGAATACAAAAACACAATATGCCTATTTATAAGCAACAACTCCATTTATATCAGAACCTACTAAGAAAGCATTTATTATATCTCTATTAATGCATTTGAAATATATGAGAGGCAGTTAGTAGAAAAAGGAGAAATCCAAAATTTTTGTTATTTTTATTATTAAGCCAAATTTATGCATATGATCAAAATTAGCCAAGTGGTCTATCTAATAATATAAATTTTGATCAAAATTTAGATTTCTTTCTTTTCTACTGACTATCTCTCATATATTAAATAATTTGTTGCTCATGTTAAAGATATGCTTTAAATTGGAAATAGTTGCAAAGAAGTGTGAGTTTTAGCATAGTAATTTATAACAAAATTCACTATTGTTTGAAATAATAAATAACAATAAAGGTTAATAATATTTTTTTATAAACTTTAATACAAAAAAATTGAAAAAATAACTTAGCTTTTACTAGTATTCTATGACGCTGATGATTTTCTAATATATCATCAATAATCTCAACGAAATGCATGATGTAGTAATTGATAAAACAGATGAGATATACAAATTAAAGATTGATCAGATTTTAACTTATCAAAACCTTCCTAATTACTATACCAATAATAATCAACATAACTGTAAAAATGACAAAGTATTATAGCTTATTGAAGAAAAAATGAAATTAATCAGCTTGAAATATATAAATCATTATGTTGTATGGCTACGTGACCTAACAGAACCTGCAGAATATGAGTTCTATATTCAGGAAATATCATTTTAGTAGCTGATAGAAATATTGTGATATATCAGAAAGATACTGATTATTTTACGAATATATTATATCCAAGCCATCACTGCAAAATATGCCTGTTCTAAAGGTTTTCTTGATATTTATGTTAACGATTTTGATATTTATAGAAACTTATACTTTAGAAGGTGTATATTTGTAATTCAGAAACATGCTATTAAGTTACTTATTAATAGTTTTTTTAATCAGCTTTGTTTCATTTGGGGCGAACTTTAATGGTTTTATTAAATCAGTGATTGAAGATATACAATATCTGGTAAACAGTTTTATTATGCAAACATTATATAGGAATGCTTGGATTATTGGAGGCCTTGGCTGTGTAACTGCTGACCTATTACAGGGTAATGGCTTGGCAGGTATAAAATGACATGGAGCAATTCATGGTTGCTGAACATATAACATTATAACAATTAACTTACTGATCCAGACTATGATTATAAATGTGCATTTCATTAAGAGCTGGAACTACAAATTTTAGAAATTAAAAGTCAACACACAAAATCTGCCAAGAAATAACTAACTACTGAATACGGATTATTAGTATCTTAAGAATCTTTCGATATACTTAAATATCCTAACAACACAGGATGCATATCATTCTATGGCCAGAAAAACACATATTCTATTAGAGTCTCATTTTGCATACTTAACGTAAATGAGAAAAAGGCTTTTATAGAACATTGGAAAACTATAAAAAACTAACCCATTGGAGTCAGATGCTAAATACATTGCGACATCGTCAAAGTTTTATGTTTTTTGATGTATTAAAACTTGCAATGTTAATGCCATTTATAATTAGACGTTTTTTAAAATCTTGTCATATAAAAGCAGAAGTCATAAATAAATGGTATATAAACTATGGAATGATACAAACTGCAGACATATCTCAATTATGTAATGTCTGGTCTATTGAAGCCAATGCATTCATTAAAGATCGTATTCTCAACTATCATAACAGAAAGTATTGAAATTTTCATACAAGTAAGTAAAGTTTTATATTATAAACTGTAATGATTTAACAATTCTAGGTATTGAAATTCTAAGTAATTTTAAGTCATCGGATGAGTTATTATAATATGGGCTGAACTTTTCAGTTCAGAAAACAGATTTCAAGATAATGTTTGACATTGGCAGTTTTTTTTATTTATTACTAATGCTCGACATTTCATCTAATATTCAATCCAATAAGAATATTTTTTTTGTGATATATGAACTTATCAAGAGATTTCTGGGGATTGTAATTTTTTTCACCGCTAAAAAACTTCACCCCCTCTTAAAATGTCATCGTTCACGTGGTGAAATTTACTTGGAAAACAGGCCGAACGGAGACTTTTCTACACGCGTTCTAATTTTTTTCTTTTTACATTAAATCAATGACTGTCTTTCGACGAAGGTAAGCTTCTACAACACTTCTATGAATTATGAATTTCTGTATATGACTTAAAATTTAATACAATTAGCGTTTATATAAATAATACTTGGAGGAATTGGAAGAAACAAGTCGTGCGAAGAGGACTTCTTAAAGAAAAAAATCATTAAGCTAAGAAATTTGGAAGAAAATATTCGTGTTATTTTCGCAACGAATATAATTGACGAAAAATTCTTTGAAGAAGGAGCTTTGGCAGGTGATGTCTTGTGATACTACACGGATTATTAGGAGACGTCATTCTTCTTCATCCTGCATTATCAGTAACTCCCACAAAATATATTCAAATATTTTTCCTTCTTTTAAATCGATCAACAATCTATGACTGGACTTAGGACTGGTTAAAGAAAAACAGTTGAGCAATAATTAATTGCTTTAATTACGAAGATGATGTCTTTACAATACATTAACAAGTCAGCATGCAAATGTCGAAATACTTAGCATTTATTTATTTAAAACAAAATAAAAGTTATAAGTGGTTTCATTTTTGGAAATACTAATACATTAATGTGGAGTGGCAACACCTCTTAAAGTTTCTTCTAATTTTAATCTATATTCTGTTACGAGCTCTTGTTCCCTCATTTCCATTTCTTTATCATAGTCCTTCTTCGCTTTTTTTATATCTTTTAGAAATTCTTTTCGTTCTGCGTGATATGGATCTGACTTGTTTTGACTATTCTGAACACATTAGAGAATCATAAGTATCTAAAGCAACAAAAAAAATGACATATTATCATCAAATTCCTAACTCACTTGTCTTAATTCTGTTAATTCGGTTAGCAATGTTTCAAAAGCTGGATTCGCAGCTTGTACTTAACAAAAGTTATAATAGAAAATGATCGTCTTTTTTAATTTACAAATATTAAAAAAAAAATGCAAGGTTCCAAATATTTTTACAAACATTTATCATTGACACCGCTCAACTTTTTACTTAGAGAAGCTACACCATCGGTATATTTATCGGGAGCATCCTGCGCATAAACGATACACTTATGTAAATTGGCATCTTCGCGACCATTCCTATTCGACTAAAGAAAAAGTTTATTTTAAATTTCAATAGTTACTTCGAATATGAAATTGTTCAAATTTTACCTCAAATTCTCGCATAAATATTTTTATCTCTTTGTCGACACTTTCTTTAGGATGATTGAATATTGTTTCATAAAAATCACTTATATCTATTTACAATTAAATTTATCTATTAATTTAAATGATTTATCATTCTGAAGATGTTTTGATATTATCTTGCCTTGAACAATGTTTTTTGTTTCGGGTTTATACATTTCGTTTTTTTTTTTTAAAAAAAAAAAAAAGACTTGAAATTACAAATTTGCATGCAGATCAAGTTAATTACGTAATATATACACAACACCTCGCAAATCTACGTTCAATATATAGAATCTAAAAGTCTCGTAATACTGAAATTTCATTGATCGAATTTCTTCCCGTCCCCCACCTTTTTTCTGATAAAATGTCAAGTAATGAAAGGCCGCCAAGTCCCTCTTCAAATATAATTTTAAAACAACATGGATCTAATGCCGAAAAGAAACGTCCTAAAAAACCTTCTGAACGTAAAAATGCTAAAAAGCAAAAACTTGAGAGTCCACAACATTCGATAATTAATGATAATGAGGCCATTGGAGAAATTAAAACGAGGACTAAAAAGCAACTTCAGCCAATGGCCTCTAATGATGCTATCGAGGAAATTAATAATAAAAAGTCTCATGATTCAAATACTGAGGTCGTTGCACCTGGAACTTTCGGAAACTCTTTTCAAGAGGAGGAATTGGAAGAAATAATCGATGATGTCTTTTTACAAGATTTTGTAGCTGATTCACAATATGATGAAATAATTCAACCTTCTTTAACTCCGGATATAAAACAAATACATATCCCAAAAGTCATTCCTCATGATTCCATACATCCAGTCGTAGCCGACACTTTTGAACAACATGCTATTAATGAACAATCAGTTAGTTATTTATCAAACAATAGTACAACAGGAGAAAATGTCGTGCTCAGTCACCAGGTAACTAATACATTAATTGTCAGTTAATATGAATAAAATTAATGCCCTATTTATACTATAGGTTCGTCATCAAGTAGCCCTGCCACCCAATTATCCATATATTCCCATTTCTCGACACGTCCCTCCGACTGAACCTGCTCGTAAGTATCCCTTTGAATTGGATCCATTTCAAAGGGTCGCAGTCTCTTGCGTTGAAAGGAACGAATCCATCTTAGTTAGTGCACATACATCAGCTGGTAAAACGGTTATAGCAGAATATGCTATAGCTCAAGCACTAAGGGATAAACAAAGGGTTATCTATACAAGTCCAATAAAAGTAGGTTATTATTATTATTTTTTCCATTGCGTCTTAAATTGTAAAATATCATGTTTATATACTTTGTTACTTTTTTAGGCATTAAGTAACCAAAAGTTTAGAGAATTGGAATCTAAATTTCATGATGTAGGATTGATGACTGGTGATGTGACTATCAGATCTGATGCAAGTTGTTTAGTGATGACTACAGAGGTATCTTATTTAAAATCATATAACCTTTGCATGTTAATTATTATAATGACATTATGCTAATTTTTTTATTGTAATAAAAATTCCTAGATTTTACTTCTCATGCTTTATCGCGGAAATGACCTTATTATGCGCGAAGTATCATGGGTTGTTTTTGATGAGATTCATTATATGCGAGATAAAGGTATGAATTTTAAAACCTTGTTGTCTAAATCTTTTATTCAATTTTTAACCAAAAAAAATTTCATTATATCTAGTACGTGGCGTTGTCTGGGAAGAAACAATTATATTATTACCCCATCAGGTCCATTTTGTATTTTTATCTGCGACTATTCCAAATGCAATGGAATTTGCAGAATGGATCTGTAAAACACATGCTCAAGTAAGCAAGTAATTAAATTTATTTCGAGTATTAAAAATTAGTACTAATACAATATTTTTCGTATGATTAAATTATTAGCCATGTCATGTTGTATATACCGATTTTCGACCTACCCCATTACAACATTATATTCATCCTAGCGGAAGCAATGGGATATTCATCATTCTCGATGAAAAAGGAAATTTCAATGAAGATAATTTCAGAAAAGCGACCGGATTGTTACAACAAAGAAATTCTGATATTGAATATATTAATACCAAAAAAAAACCGAAGCGAAAAAAGATTGAAGAATCTTCCAAGAAATCAAAGTTGAAAAAATCAAAAGAATTGAAAGACTCAGAATCTGATCACCTCGAGGATTCTGATGAACCTAAGGAAGTTAATGAGCCAAAAGATACAAAGGAAGTGAATGAACCCAAAGAAGAAACCTCTGAAAAAGGTATGTTAATAGAATAATTATGACAATTTTTTTTTAAAAAATCTAATCTTGTAATTTAAGATGATGAACTTATTTATTATTTAGAACCTTCTGATATTCGAAAAATTGTTAGAATGATAATGCAAAATGACTTTTATCCAGCTATAATTTTCAGTTTTGGAAAGCGTGAATGTGAGAACAACGCGCTTCAAATGGGAAAAGTAACTTTAAATAATGGTAAGATATTTAAATTGGAAATATTTATCTGAATATCCTAATGATTATAAAATAATGACGATTATTCTTATAATTAGAGGAAGAACAATTATTAGTCCAACAAGTCTTTGATAATGCAATCGAGACACTTTCTGAAGAAGATCGTAATTTGCCACAGATTGAACATTTGTTGCCATTCCTAAAACGAGGAATTGCATTCCATCATTCAGGCTTATTACCTGTATTAAAAGAGATTGTCGAACTTCTTTTTCAAGAAGGTCTTATAAAAATATTGTTTGCAACCGAGACCTTCGCAATGGGATTGAATATGCCGGCTAAGACTGTTGTCTTTACTGATGTAAAAAAGTTCGATGGGCAAGTCAACAGATACGTAAGTGACGAATTTATTAGAATACTAATCAAGTATTAGCTGTTTGATATACTCTATTAATTAATTTAAAATTCATAAAGATCACATCGGGTGAATATATTCAAATGTCCGGTCGTGCTGGTAGAAGAGGTATTGATGTAAAAGGGATTGTTATAATAATGGCTAGAGAAAAAATGGATCCTACGATTGTTAAAGGAATAATTACGGTTAATATATTTTTTTTTGGATTGGTTTTTTTAAAATTTAAAGATTTTCTAGATATTCAACATTTTCAACATCAATGTTAATTCTTTCTTTTCAAATTTATACTTGTAGGGGGAATCAGATAACCTTTTTTCCGCGTTTCATTTGAAGTACAATATGATTTTAAACATGACCCGTGTTGAAGGAATTAGTCCCGAATACATACTTCAACGAAGTTTTTACCAGTTCCAAAATACTGCTTGCTTACCTGCACTTGAAGAAGGTAATATTTGATGAATTTATTTCAGTACTTTATTAATTGCACTAAATGAATTATAATTTCTTTTTGTACAATAGAGTTATCACGATTAGAAACAGCCTATGCGTCTTTTGAGATATCTGATGAGGATACTATCGAAGAATATTATAATATTCGAAAACTTTTAGACACTTATGCTCATGACATGCGTCGGGTTATTAGTCATCCGATCCACAGTTTGCAATGGTTGAAACCAGGCCGATTGGTATCGATAAAACATGCAGATATGGACTTCGGATGGGGTATGGTCGTTGCTTACGGCAAAAGAAAGGTAAAAAAATTTTTTTTCTCTATAATTTTTGCATTTTTTTTTTTATATATATTTCTGAAATTCTAATTTTTAATTAACAATTATTTTATGAATTAGGATCCAAGGAATTTAAATGTTCTGAATAAAGTAACATCAGCGTCTTTGACAGCAGAAACAAAGGATAATACAAATAAAGAAATTCAAGAACCTCAAATCCTATCACCAGAACAATACTTTGTTGATGTGTTGCTCAATTGTGAACCAAATTCTATTGTTGCAAAATCTGCTGAAGGAAAAACCACCGGTGTTAGACCTTGTAAAGAAAATGTAATGGGCGAAGTTATGGTAAGAATACATATTAACTAAAATTAAAAAAAAAGTATTTAATAACATTATTGATTCGATCCTTTAAACACATATAGGTCGTTCCTGTTGAATTATCTACAATACATTGTATTAGCTCAATTCGTATATTTCCGCCTAAAGTCCTTACCCATAAGAAGATTAGAAATAATCTATATGAACAAATTCAAAAAATAAAGAATTATTTTCCGGATGGTATTCCAATTCTGGATCCTATAGAAGACATGCACATTCGAGATGAAGATTTTCGAAAGCTGATTCGGGTAAGTATCATCTTTGCTATTTATTATCTATTAATCATTTGATTCTTATTTAACTTTATTTAAATTTACATATTTTAGAAAATTGAAATTCTTGAAGCCAAGCTTTTTGCCAATAAACTTCATAAAACACCAGAGCTTCCATTATTATATGACCGATACGCTCAGAAATTCGCTCTATATAATGGTATCAAGAGTTCAAGGAAAAAGATAAATATAGCTAAATCTATATTACATCTCGATGATCTGAAATATAGAAAACGATTATTAAAACGACTCAAATATTTGACAGATGAAGATGTTGTTTCGTTAAAAGGTCGTGTAGCTTGTCATATCAATGCTGGAGATGAATTAGTTATTACTGAAATGATTATGAATGGCGTCTTTAATGATTTGACTGCAGAACAAATAGTTACATTATTAAGCTGTTTTGTATATGATAATGGTGATAAAAAACAACATACACTCAAAGAAGAGTTATACGTGCTTTATTGTAAAATACGGGAAGAGGCACGTAATATAGTTGCAGTTTCTAGTGAGTGTAAGATAAATATTATTGAAGAAGAATATCTTGCGACGTTTTGTCCTGACATGATGGAACCCGTTTATTCATGGTGTCAAGTTAGTAATTTGTTATTTGTTATTTAAGCACATCAAAAATATTAGAGATATCTCACCTAATTATTTTTATTTAATAATATAGGGAAAATCATTCGCGGAGGTAATGAAAGTTTCTGATTCCATGTTTGAAGGTCATGTTATTCGAACCTTTCGTATGTTGGACGAATTGCTACGAGGAATGGTTAACGCGGCGAAGGAGATAGGGGATTTAATGTTAGAAGAAAAGTTCAAATTGGCCATTGAAAAGACCAGGCGTGGCATAGTTTTCGCCGCATCTTTATATACCTCTTAATTAAAAATTTTATATTTATAATTTAAAGTTATTAAAGTTTAATAAAACAGCGATATTTTTTTTTTTCCTTTTTATTTTTGATTGTATTTATAAAAATAATCTTCTAATGAAATGCAATTAACATTATACTTTTTATGGCACTCTGCATAGTTTAATAATATAGCATTACATCATCTAATACATTATTTGCATAAATATCTATAGTAAATATTTAAGATTCTAAAACTACATACTTCATAATATATATAATTTTACATAAATCACTCAAATCCTTTATGGTTCAATTGCATTACATAACATATTACATTTTCCCCTAATAGGATATGAAAAAAAAGAAAATACTTTAAAGATTCATATCATGAATATGAATCCCAAAAACTTTTGGATTCTTTACATTTGTTATATTAATAATTGTATTCAATCTTCTTTTAAATTTAAAATATTCTTTGCTCTACTTTTTATTTTTATTCATTTTCAAACCTTTAATCGCAAATTGAAGTATTTAAAGATTGCATCTGATATATAAGAGAACAATCATTTTTTTCTTTTTTTCAAACTTTTTGAGTACATATTTCTAAAGAATTATTAATAATAACTAAAATATAATAAACAATTATAATATTAAGTATCTTATAATACAAGCATAATTATCTTAAATGTATATTTTCAAAATAAGCATTAATTAAGAGATCTAACAATTAATTTCTAAGATTTGACTCTTCCATTATATCTTTAATGGCAAATTCTTAGGGTTTTGAATAAAATATTATCAGGTTTTTACTTTATAATTATAAATCAAACAAATAATATAAATATTACTTATTAGGATATAATAAATGTAACTTATATTATCTTTAATATTTTTATCTTCTTCAAAAACTTTAAATTATAAAGTTTTAATACATTAATTATGATTTTTTGTCCTATTTTTTTAATAAGTCTAACATATAATATAATTTTATAATTGTATAATATTCTATTTAATGTGAAAATTTTAATGCTTACTTTATTATTCATAAGTTATATTTTTTAATATTAATCTCAGATTCATATAATAATTTAAAGTTAATCAAATAATCTTTTAATCATTCATATTAATATTTAAACACAGATTTGTTTGATATTCTGATATTAAAAAAAAAACAGAAATCTAAAAATTTAGAATTCTTATAAGTTACAAATATTTTATTAACTTATTATTATTTAAGTAAAAACTTACAAAATATAATATATATATAATCAAACCTTGATATAGCAAACTCTTGATATAATGAATTTTTATATCAAATATATTAAAAATTACCTTACTATAGTGAATCAGCCAATTAAATTCTTTAAAAAATTTATTATAGGCTTATATAGTCAGAACTCGATATAACAATTCTCGATATAACAATCACTTAATAAAATCTTGTTAAAATGATTTTTTTAAAAAATTTGACTCTATTTAAATATATAAAAATTGATATATAGAACTTATAAATTTTGATAAACCAATTTTTTTTAAAAAATTTCATAGTAAACCAGTAGGTTCGTTATATCGAATTCTAACTGTAATAAAGTTAAGATTCAGATTTTAGGATTTATTATATTAAGAGTTCACTGAATATTATAATAAGAATATATAAAACTCCTTAATTATAATAAAAATTTAATTATTAATTAATTTTTTGAAAAAAATAATATTAATTTACAGTTTATTTATTATTAATAACATATTAAATATATATTATAATAAAAAAATATTTAACTTATAATATATAAATATAAAAGAAAAAAAAATGGTTTATTTCTACCTATTGTATAAAAACTAATTATAATTATCTTTTACTTGAAAATTAAAAATCAGCATTTTTTATTATTTGATTTCATTTTTTTAAAATTAATTGGCTTCTTTCATATCAATTTCTTTATTTTGGATTAAATAAAAATATTATAAATAATAAATATAGATTAAAGATGAGGGATGAGGGATGAAACCCAAAAAAAGCTATTAATAAATAGCTAAAATTATATTAAAACATAGTGAGGGATACGACAAAATCCCAAAACCTGAAATTAACTGAAACTATATTAAAAACATAGTAAGGGATATGATGAAATTATTTTGAGGGAGTTTTGACAAGCATCTTTAACATAAATAATATATAAAATATAGATTTAAAGTTAATATTAATACAAATATAATTTTATTAAATAATTGATTAAAAAACAAATATATTTATTATATATAATATAAATTAATTGCTGATCTGCATGTGCCTGATAGAATTAACATGATAAAATGTGATACAGATTTATTATATAATAATGCTGATCATCATTTTGTATTAATATAATAACAATAATTATTTTTATACAAATATGTTAATTTACAATTATTATTGTTAATAAGAATCTTTAAAACGCTAACTTTAAAAAAAAACATTTATTATATTTACAGTTTACAAAGTTTTATATATAGAAAAAAAAAGGTTTCATAATAGCTTTAATTATATAGTCTGCTAATTTCAATTTTAAAAAATAAAGAAAATAAAATTTTTAGCTAATTTTTTGGCGTTTATTAGACCTCCTTTGACCAATAATACTACTTTTAGCAACTGTTATATTTGGAATATTTTTCATATTTTTCATTAACGTCTTCTCTGATGCTTTCTTTTTAAAGTTAGCACTATATCTTCCTATTCATCCTTTGATAGTTTTTATTGTAGATATTTCTTTTAAGATAAGTTCTCCTTTCATAACCAATTTTTCTAAAGAAACACATATACTTTTGGGTGAATAGTGATCTATAACCCTCAAATTTTCAGCTAAAAAAACCTTGTAAATACTGAACAACCTTTTTCGTTATATGTTTTTTTCCACTTTTATTACCAAATTTTAGAAATTCATAATGAAAAAATATTGGTGGAAATATTACCTTATAGTTTAGCATAATATATAGGTAATATTAGTATATAAGATTATGAAATAATGTAAAAAAGGATGACATTTATCTGCTATTTAGATTTTTTCATCGATTTCATCTACTACCTTATTTATTTGCAACTCTAAATCTTATAAATAATTACAGGTGATTATTTAGTTTATCTAAAAATTAGAATAACAAAATAAACATTTAATTTAACCTATTTTTTTTTATTAAAAATCGGCATTATCCAAGGAATATTTGATTTAATTAGCTTTAAAATTGTTGGAGATGGTCTACGTGTTATATCAAAATTAGCAACTTATGTAGGAAAAAAATCAATCCATTTGTTAATATAAGGAAGAAAGCATATACAAATATATCTAGCAAATTGATATGTTATAAGCCAACTTTATTCAAACTACTTTAAGATGCCAGATATAATTTTAGATTTTTTTTCATTAGTATTTCTTGATTTTTGACTATTCCTATTATGTAATTTTATATTCAAAAATATTTTTATTTTATTTTTTTTTGTTACATTTTATTAACTACTGTTTTTTTTGGTGAAGATGACGGAGGTAGTTAAAACAAAGTTTTAAAATACCACTATTTAAAGATGTATCACTATTTAAACCTATTTACTACTTGAAGATGCACCATTTAGTCCATCACTTTTATCATCACCTTCACCTTCACCCTTGTCTCCATTAAGTTAATAAACTTCATTATTTATTTTATATGTTGTATAATTTTTTTTAGTAATTTTTTTAATTATTATTATTATTATTATTATTATTTATTATTCTATTATAAAAATGTAAATCTATTATTCTATCTCACTAATACATATATTTAAATAAAATTAAAAATAAACTTACTCTATATTTATTTGATTTGAGTTTACTTGATCAATTATCAATTTAGTTCTATATGTAATATTGATATTTCACTTAGATTCTGAAATGCTATTACAATATTTTTCCTATTAGATAGATCGCATTTAATTCTAATATACCTTTTAATTACATGCACGATCTAAATATTTTTATTGGATGCGAATATATAATTGTTTATCTATGTTTTCTAAAAGGAAACACAGAATTAAATAATAGGAAATTAGCGTGCACATTTACTAATTTTTCATTTTTTTGAATTTTGTTATGCAAAGTGAGCATTATTCAAATTCTTTAATTCAATAAAATGGAAATACAATAGTTTATTATAAAATTAAAAAAAATTAATTACCATTGCATGATAAGAATCAACAGTCATTTTTACTTCTTCTGGTTCAAAATAAATAAAAAAAATACATTCACATACTTTTATATTATACCATTATACCAATAGCTAATAATTGCTATTAGTTCAGAATTATGATAATACCCTTTATAATCTGAAATAATTTTAATTCAAAGAGGTTTAGGATTCATTATTATAAATACTGCTTCAAAATACAACGCTGTAAACTAAGCATTTTACTTAGTATTTGAATTTCAATGATTATAAGCTTAAATATCTAATTTTTTATTATTATTTTATTTTTTTGAAATATTAGAGTTGTATAAAGGGTCCTTTTGCATTTTCCAAAGAATTCACTTTTTGTTTCCTAGGCTGTTGTAAGTAAAATTCGCATTTTGTAATCAACTACAATAATAGATCTGTAATCATCTAATTCATATAAAATAGAATTAAATTGAGCATTTAGATAAGTCTTACGAGTTTGATATGCCAAGTAACATGTCAATTGTTCTTGATATTCTAGGAGTTTAGAATGATAAATAATATCAAGTTGATTAGTAAGTTCTTTAAATATATTAAAAATTTGTCACACTCTTGATATCATAAAAAATATTATTGTGTACACTTTCCAAATGCAAATAATAAATAATGATTAATACAATTCACAAGATTAGTTATAATATCCTTATCTACTAGTAATTTCTTTTATAATTTTACTTTAGATAATGACATAAACATTCTAATTTATGAATTAACTGATCCTATAAAAAAATTATGTACTATTAGTTATATAGTAATTGAATAATAAAAATAATAATTTTCAATTAATATTATTAACCCTTCAGAACTTATTAGAAAAATTTTTAGTTACTAATTCAATCAAATTTTCGAAGGGTTAATATTCATAATCATTATATATTATACATAATTCTCCTAAATCTTCTTTATATTTGAAGTAGCTATCTTGTAAGTGAGACATAAAAGAAGTCTGCTTTATTCTATTAGAATAAATGGCAGAAAATTTTTTTCAAAAAGCACTTTTTTTATCTTTTAAATAAAATACTGATAATTTTGTGAAATTCTTTTTCTTTAACTTTAGGCATTTTTGAACAAATAATAACTGATTTTTCTAATGTAAGACATTTGGATCTATTAATTCTAGAATATTTTCATGCTGCATTAATTGTATTAGGTAAAATCTAAATAATATATAAAATTATACAATTATTATATATATATATTCTAATATATAAAATCTTATATCGCATTATTACCTTTAATTCTTTAATTAATTTTTTATATGTAAAACTTTCTTCAATTATTGATAAAATATGCATTTTTCCATTTATTTTTTTAGGATATACGTATAGCTATTACAAAAATAATCCCAAAATGTATGAGTTGATGATATTAAATTCAAAAATCCTTCTACATATAATCTGACAATTATTTCACAATCTTTTTCAGAATCAGATGCATTTATTCAAAATTCTTTCTAAATAATAAATATATAATATTAATTACAAAATTTTTTAATGCTAAATAATATATATATTTATTTTATACTTACGTAAGAAATGTTTTTATTATACAAAGTAATATTTGTACATCCTATAGCATAAAACATTATATATCATGCCCATAATTCTCTTTCTTGAAATTTATAATTCAAATCATATATCTTGTTAAGGTGAGTATATAGTTCAATTATATTATTTTTTTGTTGTATCCAATGTTAAAATACTTGATACCATTCAACTGATCATTTTATATTTCTTTTTAAATATAATTTAAATAATTTTTCCATAATTATCATATTATTTCAATTCATAAGTGTATATTCAGGTAATTGATATAAGCAAATTTTCTAATATTCTTAATTTATTCTATTCAAAATTATAGGATAATTAATAACAAATAAGATATCACCTGAAATAGATTTCAAAACTCCTATTTTATTCCAAATACTATTAGATAAAGTGTTTTTATATTTTGCATCAATTTGATTATTTTGATAAATTATAATCAAAAATAAATTTTTATCAATATGCTAGTAAAAAACTGATTGTATTTCTTTATATTTATAAAATAATGATACTGTATAATTATGACTAATTTTATTTGTATTTGATGTAATTTTGCTAAGACAATTAATAAAAACTATTATTTTTTTCTAATATAATACTAAAAGGATAAAATGTAACACCTTCTAATAACCTTTGAGCTATCTCAGGTTGTTTAAACCTAGATATGAGAATCCTACATATTTTGTTTTACTTTTAAAAATAGACTAATAAATTGATATAATAGCAGCAGTAGCACTTGTATTGATACTACTACTTTGTTCACTTCCTTTACAAATATAATCAAGTTATAAAGAACTATAAACATTCTGAATTACGTAAATAATAAATGGTTTATTATTAAGTTAGACCATTATTTTATGTTCTAAACGTATAGGAATAGGATAATATAATTGTTTTTTGATTTTTTTCTTTAGAAAAAATCACCAATTATTTAAATATAGATCATAATAAAGGCTTAGCTCAATACTACCAATTGTAATAAATTTTCCTGGAGTTATATAAGATTTTAACATTAAGAAAAAGAGATTTCAAATGGAGATCTTTTATTAATTATCATAATATAGTAATTTACTATATATATTATATCAATCATATGTGGATCAGCAATTAATTATTTTAAAAAAAATTTATATTAAATAGTAGATTATAAAGTAAATAAAATATCAGTAAAATTAAAATTATTAAATTCTTTTCTTAGAAAATTAATAAAATTAAAGATAGTATATTTATATAAAATTATAAAATACTAAACATATTTATTTTAACTAAAACTATTATATGAATTATATTATAAATTAATAATAATAATTTTTAGTTATAAATAAATAGTTACTAAGAAAAAATATTAAGATTATAAAAAAATAATTATAACCTTATTTCTTAAAAAGATTTTTTTAAACTATTATTTTTATCATTTTTATCATTTTATAAAATAAGCTTATTTTTTTGTATTAATTATCTATAATAAATCTTAAAAATTATTTTATATTATAATTTTTATTTTATTCTCTTTCTAATTCATTTGGCTTAAATAAGAAACTTATAAAAGAAATTTGTAATTTTTATAATTTATAAATTTATTTTTATATAATTTAGAATACTATATAAAAAATTATTTTACAGCTAATTTTATAATTCGTAAACCACTAATAAATTGTGATTGAATGTAATATATTTTATAATAAATTACTATAAATTATTGTGACTGAATGCGATTAAAAAATTATTAATGGTCCATGAATTATGAAATTAACTGTAAAGTAAAACTTTAATTTTTTTTTAGATTTTATTTTTTTCTATTGATAAGCTCGTATATACTTTATTTTTTAAATTAATAGTATTTATTTTTATTCTATATTTTTAAAATTAAAAATTTAAAACCATTATATTTTATTAAATATCTTTAATAGATAAAGTAATTATATAAAAAAATATGTTTGGTTATAAATTCAATATTTAATTTAAATATTTTATAATAAAATTTTATAAATTATTTTAAACTTAATGATTAAAGATGGCTTCTTAACCTATTTTTAAAATAGTTGCGGTTAGTTGTAGCCTATATAAAAATATAGAGTTACAGGTTATGAATTTTGATTAGTAAGACCTAGTTATGATGTTATCTTTATTAATAATATTATTTTTTATATTTTTATCATAATTTTAATAAATTTTTTATATTAAAAACTTTAAATTTAATTAATATTTTTAATTATTTTAAAATAATTTTATTTTTTTTAAATATGAAAAATTAAAATTTTACTTTATATGCTAAATATGATTTTTTTAGTAAAATAAGTAAAATAAGTTCAAATTTAACATTAACTCATAAAATCTTTTCTTTTGGATTTCCTCTCTTTCTATTGACAAGCTTTTATATATTAAAATTTTAATAATAAATTATAATTTTTTAATATTATTAAATTAAATATAATATTTAATTTAATTTATAATTAGATTTATATTTAAAATTACTATATTTCATCTGGATTTAATCAGTCATTTAAATAGTAAAGGTAAAAATTGGTTAAATTATATTAAAATCTTATTAAAAAATCAGAAAAATTCAAAAAATGGTAAAACTATATCAATCCTTGGTAAAAAAAATTAGTGAAACTAAAGTTTTAAATGTTAAGATGAGTTTAGATAAGCAACCTTATTTATATCTAAATTATTTAGTATACTTTAAATATCTATCATAATATTTTAAAATCCTACATTTTTTGATAAAAATTAATAATATCAAATTATATTATTTAAATTATAATTAATTATTATTACTATATCCTTTTATTATTTTTTTTTACTTTTTAAATAAAAAATAAAAATTTTTTATGATTTTTTTTATGATTTTTTTCTTATTAAACAAATCATATTTTTTGTTCTTATATATATAATATTTGTAAATATTAATTATTATTAAACTTAAGAAATTAAAGGAATTCCTTAATACTCAAGTTTTTTAAATGACAGAAATTTTGAAAATATATAGCGTATCGATTTAATGATCTCATTTGACCTTCATATGATACAGTCAAAATGCCATAAATGACAAACGCTAGATTCTTCCTTTAAAATATTTAAAATTCGGAATTCGAATAATCCACAAATCACAACTAAATTAAATTGATTCACTAAAATAAAAAAAACCTCATTTTTAAATGAATTGATTTTATTAGGTTATAGATCTTCATTTATATTTTGATTTTCTCTCCATTTTCTTCCCTTAAAGTAAACCAAGATTATTAATATATTACTTAATAATACTATAGAGGTTAAAGCAGTAAATAACCAACCAACACCAAACTTATTTTCTATGGGAACGGTTAATATTATTACTATAGTTGATATTAAGGCAGATATAGCATCACCTATTGCAAGTATTGAAACACTAAATTCTTCAGGATAAGAATCTGTAGTATAAGCAATTGTTGAATTCGCTGAAAATGATACTCCAAATTCTCCTATTTATTTATTTATTTTTTAAAAAAATAAAAATAAAAAAAAAGACTATTAACTTTGTTTTTTTTTTTTTTAAAAAATAACAATTATTTTTAATTGGTTATACCTATAAACATCATGATTAATGGCCAAATAATATCAACTCTCCTCTCCAAAATCCAACCAAATATATAAAATGATATGATTGCTAATAAAACTCCGATCCAGATACTTTTTAATCTTAATTCCGGATAACTCTCTTCTTTTCCATTTTTTTCTTCGTACTTATTTATCAAATAATCAGAATAATGGCTTCCCAATATGCTTCCAATAATGCAACCAACGCCAGGAGCCAAAAATACCAACCCAATATATAATGAAGATAAATTATAAATATTGGTAAATGAAAAAGGAATTATGATATGTAATACATAAATTAACATCCAAGCTGTTGTATTATAAATAATTGTTAATATTATATTTGGATAATAAAGTAACTTGAAAGGGGATAATAAATTAAATTGTTTTGTATTTGATGTGTTTGTAATCGAACCAGTTATTATTGGTATAGAGATTTCTGGGGATGAATTATAAAGTGTTTCAGGAATAAAAAATATTATCAATAATAATAAGATACTTCCGTAAATTGATAAAAACCAAAATATTGAATGCCATCCTAAAAATTCTGTAAGTATTCCTCCTATTATAGGTCCCATTAACTCTCCAAAATAAAATCCTAATAAAATTTTGGTGTTTGCCTGTTCTCTCTCTAACAAAAAAAAATAAATAAAGTTTTATCTGTTTTGCCTATATATTTTTGATTTGAAGAATTATTCAATACCTTTTGAAATATAAATATCAGTTACAATGCCCGATCCTATAAATTGTACACTTGAAGATCCAAATGCTTGTAATGTCCGCATCACGATCAATATCCATATATTTTTTGCTATAGCACTTAGCATACTTGAAAGTGTAAATATCAACATGACAAAAATATATATTTTTTTTCTTCCATATATATTTGCATAAGATCCAACCACTAGTGGCTACATCAAACGAGTTAGTATTTAACGCGATTTTGATCACAATCAAAATCAATAAAGATCACGTACTATGAATCCCATAAACAGTATAAATAATCCGACTGTTTTAAAATGATTAAAACCGGATAAATAAAAAAAACGATAATTTCGTTTGAAAAAAAAGAAATAAGTTAATACCTGATATATTCACGATAAATTGTGTAGTATTGAAGTATTCACGTATCGCAATTAGCGCCGGATAATATATTCTATATACAATATAATTAATATCTCCGTATATAAATTTCGAGTTTTACTATCTATTACTTACGAGATTGATATTGGAAAAATAGGAATACCGAATGAAGAAACAAATAAGACCGAAAATTTCTTTTTATTTGTCCAATCCTTTGGATCTTCTGTTGAAAGTTTCATTGAATTTAACGATACATTCGACGTAGCAATATCATCCTGATCAATATTTCTACTTAAAATTAAGGACTTTTTTGGTGACGATGGTAATGGATCGTTTATCACTTCTGTGAATGCTGATGTATCTTTCTTTACTGTCATTTTATGAATTGAAACATACAAATTAACTCATAACTGTTATTAAATAGCAAGACAATTATTAAATAATATGTAGAAAAAATAAATAAATAAAATTATAATTTAAATAGAAATTTGTATTTATAAAAGTAGAAAATAAGCCATAATTACAGGCTTATACGTTTCACATTAAGTGTTTAATCAATTTTTGCGCAATTTCATTTTTTTTATATTAAACAAATTAAATTGTATTTTAAATATATAGATTACCAATTTTAATTTAGGTGAGTGGCATTTATTTCTAATTCCCCTCGTTTCATATAAATTTGAAGGTATGATTTTTTTTTAAAAAAAAGAGCTTCTATTCGAGTGGTGTCTCCATTTGGCAATTTATCGTATATGAAACCTAACCTTTATGCGGCGATTTCAGAGGCTTTGTTTTTCTTCTCGCACAGCCGTTGTAAGTAACGAAAAGTAAGGCGCAGTCAGTTAGACGAGGCACAGTTACTAGTGAAGACATATTTAAAATTAACCAATCATTTTGATCGGATCTGCCCCTTATTATATCATTATGGACAAACCCTTCCGTAAAAAAAAATACAAGAATTGTCTGAGCAGGAAGCTTAGCAAATTGCATAATGATAACACTGTCAAATCAATACTTTAATTCATTGTACTTTTACAAATGAAATACGGCGGTGCATAAAAGGAAAATTTGTTATTTTAGAAAAAAAATCATATAAAAACTGGGAAGATAACTTTTTGACATGGAATAAACTGTACAACAGATTTATCAATTATTTTGTTTGGGTAAAAAAAAAATATTGGTGGTAGGAGTTTAATATTATAACGCATTGCTATACCCCTGAATTCTAATTACATTTATTACATTTATTTATACATTTCCGATATACAAAGCAAAGAAAACAATTAGGATACAAATTTACACTTCAACATACATACATACATGTATAAGATTACAAATAAAAATAAACAAAAATAAAAAAAAAATTCTGTTTCATTTTCTAAAATACGATCATTAAAAAAAGGGGGATGTGTATCTACCAATTCTTATCATATCACGTCATTACAATGTTTCTATTTTAAGGTTATGTATGAAATCTTTATTTTCAAAAAAAAAAAAAGAATTAAAAAAAAAAGAATTATAATACAATATACTGTATGTACTGCCGTAAAAAAGAAAGTAAAAGAAATTAATAACGTTTGCAAAAGTCTAAAATTTAAAAAATTATATATATGTATATTTTTATAATATTCATATTCGTCGTTCTTAATAATTATTAAAATATATTTAATACATCCAAAAAAAAAAATAATAATAATAATAGAATAAAAATAAAAAAGGAATAAAACCACAAAATTAAATGAATATTTTTGAGATGGAAAAAAAATTTTATTTACACGTTATTATTCCACAATTAAAGTGTCATGTTAGACATAGATGGAATGGTTGTTGCACCCAATGTGACGGAAGGTTGCATATGTGGATTACCAACAACGTTTGGTGAACCAGCTGATGTCATATTGTCAAAATTAGAACCAGGATTTCCTTGACTCATTCTTAACATCAAGTCTGTCCAATCTGTCCAACAAGCCCAATCAACTGGTGTCGGTAATGACATGAATGGATTATTATTACTCATTTGGTCATCAATGTTATCAAATATTAATGATATGTCTGGATTATCTGGATTAAAAGCATCAGCATTCGGTGGAAATGTTCCACCTTCGGCCGTTAAATAATCAAAAGACATATATCCTGATGACGATGAAGTTGTAGATTCGGGTGATGATGTTTGTTCATATTGTATTGCTTCACTTGAAGGTAATGTCACTGTTGATGATTGTGGACTATTCTCCAACGACGTATTCATAAACGTTGCATATGCTGATCCCGCATAGGCCGATTGCTGTTGTTGTTGTTGTTGATGTTGTTGTTGTTGATGATTTTGTTGTTGTTGTTGTTGTTGTTGTTGTTGGTAATGATGTTGTTCGAATGAATTTAATGCATTTAATGAATTTAATGAATTTGTTGAATTTGTTGAATTTGTTGGTGAAGGTGGATTTTTTGATGGAGCAAATGTAACTTTTGGTGGGGGATGATTCTCAATCACACCTAAACAATTAAGGAAAGGATTTTCGTCTCGAGGAGTTCCTTCAGTTGCCATATCTTCCAACTTGATATATCTTGAAGTTGATTTCTTTTTTGATGAAGTTTTCGTCTTTTGTAATTTCGACTTGTCACATTGCGATTCATGCATAAAACCTTCCAACACAATATTTCGTGATTTTAATAAATCGCGAATTATATGTATTATCTTATCAGTAGCGTTCCAAAATTCTGACATATATTCCAAACATTTTAATGTCATTCTCAAACCATGTTTTGCAACTTCCCTAAACCGATCATCCCCACTTAAGACATTAATGATATGCATAGTTGCCGCGGTAAAGAAGGAATGAATCGTATAAGACCAAGTAAACTTCAAGGCACGAGTTTTCATTACACGATACAAGATATGTGTAATATTATTTGCGGCCATGGTACAAATAGTTAAAGAAGGAATTGAAGATGGTGGAGCTTTTGATTTTGGTCCACGGATGTGAGGACGATGTAAAAGTATTTGTTGATTATAAAATAATAAATTCAAAAGCACTTTCATATTCGAATTTATATTATCATAATTAGTTGGAGTTGAATCATAAAGAAAGTTCTTTGGAAGATTATCACGCCATTCATTCAATTCATGATCCAAAGAAGTCAACATCTGTTCCACATTCACCTGTGAAGATTTGGATTTTAAACAATAACTATGATTAAGTATACGTCCAAGAATCAAATTACATTTAATTATTTCAACCCATCCTTCAATAGTTTCTTCATCATCTTCAGGAACCTTCCCCGCAACGGGTAAATCTACGTCAAAATCTGCATCATTTATAGCAAGCGGCCTTCCCATACGCGCACTACCGTATCGATCAGATAAAACACAACCCCACCAAACTCTTCTTCTGATTTCACCTTGTCTCTCATCAAGATTCCATTTGGCGGAATCACGATGTAATCCCATATCTTGAGCAAGTCTTATGGCAAGACCAATGTACACCCAATTGGCAGAACTTTTATGACTTTGACGATGTCCTGCCAACAATATTAATGATTGAACTAACGAAATGGAAGCATTACAAAATTCATCCTTTAATAAATCTTTTGCCTTATTAAAATACTGAGTACCCGCATTGGAATCATCATTAGGATCTGGTCGTACGATCGATTCTTCAACAAATCTAGCGGAAATAGAGAAAATTGAATATAATAAGATTACTGAAAAATAATTATACTCCAAATTATTATATTTTTCCATTAAATCTTGTTTATCAATGAATGGCATGAAAGGATGGAATTCTTTCCAATAAGCGTCTAATAATTTATCACATATTTCTCTTGGGGGTAATTCGAACTCCATTTTTGTTTCGATACCTTTTGTGGGTTTGCAAAACACAGGTTTTGGAAATGTGATGAGCTGCCCGTTGGCAACTTTTTTTGTAACCTTGAATAGGAAAATTCCTGAACTATTTCCAAGATAGCTCGTGTGTCCACTTTCATCTATTGCGAGTTGTCCCATGCTATCATCTAAATCATATTGAGAACCGCTGTATTCATTGCTATCACTTGAAAAACACTCTTCCGAGTCACTACCTTGACCGACATTTTTATATAATTTGTAATTTGATGATGTCATCAAACTTTTCGTAGAATACGATAAATTGGTTCTACCATTTTTTAAATTACTTCCTATAGTTACAGAATCATAGGAAGGCCTTCTTAATCTGGAACTATGGGAACCATTTGAATCCTGTTCCGACCTAAAGTTGCTCTCATTAACGTTAATCCATTCAAGATTCGTTGAGATTGTGCCTTCAGGTAAATCACCAGATTGAACCAAACCTCCAAGGATCGATTCCATTCTTTGGAGTCTAGTTTCTAACGCCTCGATGTATCCCTTTGGAGGTCCACGTTTCTTTGGTGCATCAATAAAGGCGCTAAAAATAATCAAAAGGTTAGTGAGAAAAAAAAAGGTAAACGATCTATAATGTTAATGCTTACCATTCATAACCATAAGCTTTGCAATTTGTACAAGATGGAGGATCTGAATCAGGCTGTACACCATCGCAACGAACTTTTTTTCTTCGACAAGTGTCACAAGCTCTTGCGACTCTACGTCTTTTAATATTATTCAAATCTTCACTTGACATTTGTTTTAATACCAATGTTGTCGATTAAAACACGTTTTTATTTTTTTTTAATTTTATTTCTATATTCTCGAACCCAATTTTTTATATTTTTTTTTTTTAAAAAAAAAATAAATTAATTAAAATGATAACGTTACGATATTGTAATATTTCAAGCGAACCCACAAAATTATGTTTTATATATATACTAGTAAAAAACAAATGATAAATTATGGTCTAACGATTGTATAATGAAAAAAAAAAGGGAGAATTGTCGAGTTCCTTGCTTTTCAAGGCAATATATATATATGATTTTCGTAATATAAAAAATAATATTACAAACATTAGGGTTGGTTAATTTATGTTATGCAAGCTTTTTGGTGTTACAATAACAATCTGGAATTTCTCACAAAAATATGCGATTTGATTTGATGCTGCGGCAAAATCAAATACTTCTATAACAAGTAAGGCCAATTTATTATTTGAGGGTGTGATAAAAAAAAAAATAAATAAATAAAGAATATTTCACATATTTGAAATCAAAAATGACAATCTTCAAATGCGAATCGATTTTAGTATTGTCAGAATGAAATATTTATATAGTTAAGTCCAGTTTACCAGTAGCGCAAACAATATAAATGGCTTGAGTAAATTTTTGTCGCTTTGGCATTCGATGGACTTTCCGTTGAACTTTAGAGAATATATATATATTGGGTATTCTAGGAAGTTTCACCTATAAACATTTGGCATGTTATTTACACGTGCATTATTAGTGGATGAAATCATCAAAATGTATGCACGCACCGAGGGTAAAAAAAGGTCTCGGAAGTGATGGACAGGGTAAATGCCAAGAAGGAAGAAACTTCTTTGAACGAGAAATCTTTTTTTTTACCAATCAACTATTTACTTTACGCCAATGACATCCATGGCTAGAAGTATCTTCTTTCTCTAAATAGTAAGGATTCATGTAAGAGGTGGCTGAAACGCCAAGTATAGAATGTTCGACATTAAAATGGTCATGAAAGAAAGAAATTTAATTTACTGATAAAAATAAATAAATAATATTCAACGCGTTGTTAACCTTTGATTAAATTAAATTAAAAGAGTAAATCAGTAATCTACAAAAAAACCAATTTCATTTATCATGGAGATCCTTATTTTTATTTTTATTTTTGCTCTCTGTTCTAGTTTATGAAATATATTTCTATTTTTAACAAAATTAAACTCGGTTATAATAGAATAACAAGAATTTTGTTGATTTATTCATTTAATGCAATCGATTAATGCGGCGCAATATATTTAATAACCAATTGATTTAGATTTCGATTGCATCTCCTTTTTGTTTTTTTCCCTTAAGAACACGGCACATAATAAATACAATGCTTTAAAGTTATATGAAAAACGTTGATGGTTTTTGTTTGTTTATAACCTCAATCCATATTTTTTTCAACATTATCTGTTATAGTTTTGAAAATCGTTTGAAACCTTTTTTTCCTTTTAATGATGAAAAAAAAATAAAAAAAATAAAAAAAAAATACATATATATATCAAAACCTTCCTTTTCAATTGGTGTACAATCAACGTTAATCATTTATATTAAAGTTATCGGTATCGGGATACCCGATATGTTTCAGTTTCAACATGCAAGAATGGCATCTCCGTAATATATTATGTAACCATGGACACAAAAATTATTAATGTTACACGAGGTCGGAATTCAATCGAAGGAGCCTACATTCTTTCAAATTTTATATCGGCATTCATTCTTATTCTGATTTTTACAATTCAATCTGGTGTATGAGAATTTTATTTATCATTCATCATCTTAAATAATCAAGGTATTCATGTATTTTACGCGTGCATGGCATGGGATCAATATATAAATAGTCGTTTAACGGAGACATGATTATGTGGCGCTGCTGAAGTTCTCCAATCAATATCAGTCAATGAAAACAAATTATATAATTATAATTATTAAAAAAAAAAAAATTAGCCGTGCTGATGTTTATAGAAAATCTATCTGATGGAATTTATAATCTAACTAATCTAACTGTATTATTTATTGATAGATAAACGGGGTTGTTTGATAAGTAAAACTTCCTGTTTTTGAACTATTTAGGAAGTTATGCGTAAGAACTTCTGATCAATATTGTTCAAAGATCATGATCCAACCGCAAAATTAAGTAACCGTAAAAAAAATATATATATATTTCCGTTAATATATAATTAAGTTCAATGCATAGAACTTTCGTTTAACCGACATCATGTGGGAAATTGTTGAAGAATGGATTTTTTTTTCTTTGTCATCCATAATTTTAAGAAATAATTTTGCCAAATGTTTATTAATTATAATTTGTAACAAAGAAGTGTGATTTTAAATGCAAGAAACAAGATTTTCGTGCATTTGATTTTTTAAAAAAAGACCACAATTGACTACATGATACATGAGGAAAAATTTTACGCGCACAATAACAAACATCTTTTTTTACTTAAGTTCGAAAATGTACTTGAAGAAAAATCTTTTAACGCTAAAACTTAATTCCTAGCATTTTTGTCTAACCAAATTGAAATGACGGAATAATTAAATGCCGAACTTACTTATGTGTACTCTGTGCTCATTATTGTAAATATTACTAATTGGGATTGTCATGAACTGCGGTTCTCTTAACGGGTTCCTCGTATATTGATGTCAAATATAGATTTCAAATATATTTTACGTGTTTCATTTTTCATCAACTGAAGATTAAATTAACCCCAAAAAGATAATTAATTCGTTACCAAAATAATCATACCCTTTATTACAATTTATATGTAATCACCCCATAGAAATTCAATAAATGCTAGAAAGTATATATTAAAAAGTTAGTTCATATGAACGCGACTAATAAAGTGATTTCCCAAGTAAATCGCACGAATAAAACCTAGCAACTTTGATGAAGTTAATAAAAACGCCAACAGTTATTGTTTTAATTTTAAAATTAATTAATTAATTTGATTTATAATTTTATACTAAACTTACCAAATAGCAACTTTTAAGTTTGTGTGATTCACCAAACAAATAAGATTACTTTATATATCGATATAAATTTTTTTTTTATTTCAAACATTTCACGAGATCGATTTTCATTACTTACAAAATATATGCCACTATTGTAAAATTTATCACACCGCGTGGCAAAACGAACCATTTTAAAGTTTTGTAATGTGTATAAAATATTGTTGTGATTTAAACTGATTTAGAAATTACTATAAATAATTGATTATATTAATTGGCGCTTCAATTGTACAACGCATTATTCTTATTCTAGTTGAGAATTTTTATTCCAACATTCTTTTTTTTTTTTTTTATTTTTAATTTACGCGCGTAGAGAGAACCAATTAAAATTTAACATGGCTAGGGGTTCGTTTTGAATCGAATTCGAATATTCGAATATCGAAAAAAAATTCAAATATCGAGAAAGAGCCCACCCTTCAAAAGAAGCTTCCAATAGACTTTACCTTTAGATCGAAGAGAGGAAAGAACGTTCCTAAATTAAAAAAAAATAAAAAAAAGGAACCATTCCGAAAAGAAATATATAAATTTTCGATATTCAAACGCATGTAGTTTTATTGGTCTTGTAAGTTTATAAGTTACATCAAATTTATGTCAGTTTTTCAGAAATTTTTATGCCCATCCGCATAAGGTCATTAGATCATCTTGTAAGGTTTGGTAATGACTGTCATTTATCGCGGTTTTTAAATATATTTTTTTTATAATTATATAGGCAGGTGACGTAATTTGATTTGGCGCAGCAATAACTTCTCGTGATATATTGATGTTTGAATTTTTTATTTCAAATTTTAAAAAGGAATTTCAAAAAAAAAAAAAAATAATAATCAATATAATATTTAATATTTAATCAAAGGTAAATCATCGTTTATCCCCTTTAATAATAAGAAATTTTGTCCGATAGTACAGGATTTACATCAATTCATTTTAAAATTCTTTTAGTTTTACAAGTTAAAAAAAAAATCTAGCATCTTCCTTATGTTTAGGGACAAAAAACAAACGATGATCCCGTTTAGTTTGGGGGATTTGATAAATTGGCTTTGCCTCGTTTTTGACATTTAATTTAATTTATATTCATAGATCTCATTTAAAATGGAACATGCGGACCGACTTTTTGCATGAATTGAGAATAAACGAAAGATGTCGAAGGGATCATGCGGAAAAGTTGCGCAATATATAATGAAATCATCGGAACTTCATTATCCCGTATTCTCCGCGTTTATCACAAAAATCGTATTTTTGTTGATTTTGGATAAATTTAAATTTAAAAAAAAATAAAATTCATTCCCCTAATGCCTATCATAATCATAATTACCAAAGTAATAATATCATTTATAATCTATCTAAAGTTCGATAATCATAAATTGATCATTAATTCATTTGTACATTATACAAAATCAAAGCGTTAAATAAAGTAAAAGACTTTTTTTTCCGAAAATTTGTAGAAAGTGCAAACATTAATAAAGTTAAATAATAATTTATTAAATATCAATTTTTTGAAATCTCTCATGATTATACAAAAGATTACTTTTTTTTACTGTTCATATAATGATTCGCTCGGTAATAAAGAGGAACCCCGGTTGCTGCTATAACTGTAAATCCTTGTGCAGCTACCCTGTATCTTAAGAAATGTTGCATGGTTTTTGAATCTCCTCGATAAAATCCTATTGTCGCTCCTACCAAAGCGAATAAGGTTGCAAACATTCCTATTAAAGCAAATTAATAATTAATCATAAATCGAGAAAAAAATATGTGAAAGTTAAAATATATAAAGGAGATATGATACCGAGAGGAATTAATGGTTCTTCCTTGAGCCGTCTAATGAACCTATTATTTAGAGTTTCATAACGAACTTGTGATTCTTGTAATGGTAACGATGTGTTAGAGGAGGAAGAGGAAGAGGGTCCGGTTTGTTGTGACATTATCTAAAAGAAGGAACGAATTTTGTTAATAACCATAAAAACAAATATTGTCG